TTCAGAATTATCTGAATATGAAGAGGAGGAAATTAATCAGATATAGTCTGTTAAAACAGCTATATACTATCTTTTAATAATTTGTTTTGTTATAGTCTCTCTTTACTTTATCTTTTTCTTTTTCTTTTTCTTTTAATTTCTTTCTATACTATCTATTTAATGTGTCTATCTTTGAGACTGTGTTCTTTTTCTCTTTTCCTTTGTCATGATATTGTCAAATGGTTTCAAAGTATCAAAAGATGTTAAAACACTGCAATTTGTAAACAGTTTTTGTATTCTGAGCTGGAATTTTCTGATTTTGCATATCTGAAATTGATGAATGTATAATAGTTAACTTTACAGACATAGGAAAAACCCTGAGAACTAAAAGTTCTCAGGTAGATGTCATAGTATCTGACTGCATACATCTATAATTGAAGAATAATAATAATAATAATAATAATAGAGCATTTAAGCAGAGTGTATTGACATATTGCACCTCTTTTTGAGCATGTTTCACATTTATGCTCACTAGTTTTGTGATCTCTGGCACAGAATGCACATTTTGAGTCTCTGAAACAGGAGATTGCAAAGTGTTCATATCTTTGACAGTTTGAACACTGTGTTTGAGCTTTGAGATTCATTCTTGAGTCTTTGTATTCATGAACTCTCATTTTCAAACCTGCTACTCTTACTTCAGAGATCTTTGACTGTTCAATTGTCTTTGTATATACTAGAACAGAGGCATTTCTTCTGCTTTGTCTGAACTCAAATAAATTTAGTCATACAGGCTCTTTTCTTAGTTGAATAGAGTTGTATTCTTCTAATTCATTTTTGAGAAGTAGCATATCTTCTTCACAGTTAAAAATTTCAACTGGAATATCATGAAGAATGAATTTATCTCACTTTTCATCTCTCTCAGATAGAATTATTGTGTTTAACAAAGATTCTACTGCTGATTTTCAGAGATTCTCATTCTGAATAAGGAATTCTGCACTGAATTCAGGCATTGTAGTCCGAATGATAGAGTTTTCAAAGAAGAATGACTCAATTGAAGCTATAACTGGTTTTTGAACTTCAATATCAGTCATTAACTGAGAAAAGAACTGCTGATTGATTTCATTTCTAATTCTGAAAATGAGGTTTGAGTTTAGCTTATTTCTCTGCAATATATCCTGATTTGAGACTTTGAGAATAAGTCTTCTATTTCTGAAGATTTGAAGATTTTTCTCTTTTTGTATTTTTTTCTTCACTCTTCTATCACTAGAAGTATGAGCAGTATTCTTCTCAGTTTTCTCAGAATTTTGAGCAGGTTTTGAGATAGCAGATTTAGAGATAGCAGATTTAGAGACAGCAGATTCAGCTGCTTGAGCATATGTTTTCTTCTGATTTAAAGAAGAAGAAGAAGAAGACATAGAAAAGAAAGAAGAGCAAACTGAAGAGTCAGTGATTGTATTAGAAATTTTCAAAGTTTTTTAAACTGTGTTTAAAATTCCAAGTTTGAACTTGATCACTTCCTGTAGTTGTCTAGTCTGAGTATGAAGAATTAACAGAACTTCTTCATTCATCTCACTCAGACACTGCTTTTCAAGAATTTTACTTGCTTTTTCAAGTTTCTGTATTCAAGAACTTGTATTTCTCTATTTCTTCTTTCTTTCTTCTCTTCAGA